GGTATATACCTATTTGGAGTGATCATATCTGCTGTATTCACAACTGGTGAGAAACAATCGTGGGCTGACAAAAATAAGATCGTTGTTAGTGGGAGCCATAATAAATCTTACGAACCTGATGAAATGTACTAGACCACACACGTACACATGTTCATTTTTAACACAACTTTAAATTATTTAACTTGTACTAATTATATATTAATAAACATCTTTTTTTCTACACCAGGCAACATTAAACAGAGAAGAAATATAGTTTTTAATTTATTAAGAAATAGTCTTAATATTATAGAAATGACCATGATGAGGGCAGATCGCTGGTCTCATGCAAAAACCCTTCTTCTTCATTCAGGCTTGGGACCGGCAGCACTGCTGCTGAACTGCTTAGTCTACCCAATAGTAGTGCAGGCGAAAAGAAATAATACCAAACCATTTACTAGATGTCAATGCTTTAACATCACCTAATATAGAATCAGGCCAGAAACTAATGCTTAGCAAACTTTTTTGCAAATTACCATAAAATAAGAAAAACTGATAAAATAAGCAAATTAGTGTCAAACGAAAAGAAAGGCTTCAAACCTAGGTGCGTGTCTGTACTCAGAAAAAATGATAAATTAATAATAAATGAAAAAAACTGCTCCAAACATGGCAAAAATATTTCAAGACTTTACTAAATATACATCAAGAGGAAAAACATGGAGAAAATATGTATTTTAGGATAAGCCTACCGGTAGAGAACCCCAAAATAGATTAAACATTGCAAACAATTAACGAATCAATCAACGGAAAAGCTCCAGGCTCTGACAATATACTGGCTGAATTCCTTAAATACGGAGGAGAAACTCTACATAGACAAATACACAAACTAATAACACTTACATGGAACGAAGAGAAAAGACCAACAAAATGGCACAAAAGTGTAATAATCCAGATCCATAAAAAGGGAGACAAAACCAAGTGCTCGAAGTATAGTCATCCCTCTACTTAATACGGCATATAAAATCGAATATCCTATTAACTATAGTTTATTTTTATGAACGAGAGAGTAATTAGCATAATTTTAACTGGTACCTCCGACCACTCCATGGGCGTGCTCAAGATTAATTGAAAAGTTACTTTGAATAATTGTAAAAAATAAATGAATTATTTCAGTGTTATAAAGTGTTATGTGTATGTAAACAAAAGTGACCTCTTTTATCACACACTATATTAGAACTGACTGGCCTACATTAAAAAGGGTTTTAAAAAATTCACATTTATTTTTAATTTTTTAAAATTACAAAAGAGAAAAAGAGTTTTTAAAACCGTCTAAGGTATGTTAAATAGATGAATCAAAGTATTAATATAAAACTTACAGCTACTTGTTACAAATCCAAATCAGATTCAGAAGATGAACTTTCAGAACCAAGATTTATAATAACTGGCTCGATCATTTTATCAGTAATATTGTCCAGCTTCCACATTTTTTATTCTTCTTTAATAGTGTGATTTACTGCCTTTTCCCGGTTTTCAGGTTTTACATTATTTACGGCCTCCAAAAACAACTGTTTAACATCATGAATTTTAAAAGTGGTATTTTTTCTTGAAACTTCACTCTTTATCTGTGCCCATACCAGTTCAATCGGGTTTAATTCACAATGATATGGTGGGGATCTAAGTATTGTCATTCCACGATTTTTGGCAATTTCATCAATTTCGTATTCTTTAAATTTTTCTTTATGAAGGGCACACAACGAATAAAGTTCCTTTCTTATAGATCCGGGATAGTAGGTAATATTTTTTGAATTCAGTCAATTCTGCAAGTCTTTTTTTAACCACTTGGTTGTGGGCAGTCCTTCTATAAGTCTGGAGTGATAACTTGCATTATCCATTACCATTACACAGTTCTTAGGAAGAAGATCTATCATTTTTTCGAACCATTCTTGAAAGACATCAGCGTTCATGTCTTCATGGTAGTCACCGGTACGAGTTGATTCAAAAGTTAATAAACCACCTTCAACAAAACCGTCTGAACTGCCAATGTGTACTATTATCAGCCTGCGTCCCTTTCCTGATGGTGGGTTTAAACCAGTAGATAAGTTATTTACAAAAGCGTGCCTTTGACTTGTAACAGTTTCATCCTGCCAAAATTTATTTGGTGTATGACCCTCGTTGATCCATGTTTCATCAAGATAAAATATTTTTCTTTTTTGGTTTCTCATTTCCTTTATGGTTCTTAGAAAATGTCTTCTCCATATGACAATATCGCTTCTTTCTAATAAAATAGACTTTCTGGGATCTTTTTCCAGCGGAAGCCTATTTCTTTTAAAAGTTTCCATAACGTACTTCGACTCATTTCTGGGTAATCCTTATCATCTCGAACTGAGACAAGAACTTTATCCAATGTTAGAAATTCTTGTCTAAAGAAGAATTCATTCACTTTCCGTCGAAGTCCTTCTTTAAAATGATATTCTATTTGAAATTTTGGTTTCCCTGGAGCATTACGTGGCATTTGAAAACTACCACATTTCTCTTCTTTAATAACTCTGTAAATCGTAGATTTCCCTACACCAAGTGTACTGCTAACTAACTCAACGGTCTCATCAACACTTTCACATAAACGTTTGTCTGTAAATGATTTAAAACAATTACATATTAATGTGTTTTCATTAACTCTTAAAGGACCAATTTTTCGGCGTTTACACGGCACTTCCAAATTTTCCATAACACTAGTATACACAATAAACTGCACCTTGCAACTGAAGTACCTACCTTTAGTGAACTGTTAAGAATTTTGAATACGCCACTTGGACCTTCCTACAAAATGGAAAAACCCACTATCACATTTTCTGTAGAATAAGTTTAGAAGGTAATTATCTAGTCAATTACTGTCGTAGATTCCTGGAATTAAAGAATTAAATGTTTGATTGTTGAAACCCCTACTTCGTGGAATGCACTCATTTCAGATAAAATAAAACGTTTTATTTTATCTAAAGAATTAAACTTTATTTTGCAAATAGGTAGGTACTTATTAAACTTTTATTGGTTATATATAACCAATAAAATAAACATCTTACATTTCTTGCAAATTCATTAGTACCTGTTAACCTCCATCACTCCGACACTGGCAACCTTATTTAGGGATTAGTAACCCTCACAAGTATTGTATTCTATTCTGCTCCAACCTTTATACCTGGTGGTCATACTCAATTTAAAATTGTTTTCCTATATACTTCTGTATACTTGTTGACAAATATCTGTTTTTCATTGAGTCACCCGTATCAACAGTTTAGGGATTTGCATACATAATTTATTGTTTTATTACTCTCTCATACATAGAAATACACTATAGGCAAACACCGTTTGTAGAAAATTTCATGGAAGAATACCAAGCCGGTTTCAGTAAACATAGATCGACCATAAATCAGATCTTTACTTTAAGGCAGCTGCTTGAAAAAGGATAAGAATTCAATAGAACTATCCTTAATATTCGGCAAGCTTACGACAGCATTAAAAAGGACCAGATGTTATCTGGTCATTTTAGTTATGTGTGAATAGCTGCAGATCCAGAGTACAGATAGGTAACAAACTCTTAGAATCTTGCGAAATAAGCAGTGGCCTGAAACAAGGAGATGCGCTGTCACCTCTCCTTTTTAATATCATCCTGGAAAAAGTGTTAAGAGCAGCACAACTTAAAACAGAATTACTGACAGTAAAAGGATCAAAATTACTACTAGCATAAGCAGATTATATTGACATTGTAGAAAACACAGTCACCAATGTCAAGGAGACTTTTAATAAATGGGAGGTAGAAGCAAAGATAACTGGTTTAAGGGTAAACGAAAAGAAAACCAAATACATGTGCATCAAGAGACAAAAGGGAGGAGATAGAATAGGGCAAAATGTTACAGTAGACCCATATAACTTTGAAAGAGTGCAGAGTTTTAAATATTTCGGATCAACAATCACTGCAGATAATGATATCGGAGAAGAGATTGAAGGAATATTTCAGGCAGCAAACAGATGTATGTACAGCCTCCACAATGCTATTAAATCTAAAAGTTTAACACGAACATCAAAGATTAGAATACATAAAACGGTGATTAGACCGGTGCTCATGTATGGGTGTGAGACGTGGATCCTGACCAAAGAAACTGAAAGAAAACTTAGATGTTTTAAGAGGAAAATCCTCAGAAGAATCTTTGGGCCTTACCATGACATTAATAGCAACCAAGAACAAATGCTGAGGACAAGCAGATATAAAGAGCGAACAACATAGTCCAAGAGATTAAATCTCAACGTCTAAAATGGGCTGGGCATGTTCACAGACTTCCTAATAACCGCTTTGCCAAGTTAATATAGGAGGAAGCCCCACAAGAAGAAGGTTCTTAGGACGTCCACGAATGCGAAGTAGACATCTGACAATATATAGTCAGATCTAAGAACAGTGGGGCTACCCACTGATCCAACTATCATGGACGACCGTTCAAGATGGAAGCAAATTGTGCAGTTAGCCAAGACCCACCCCAGGTTGTAGTGCTACGAGAAGAAGAAGAAGAAGTATAGCTCGCACAATTATTGTAATACGTTTTTTTGCTACCTAGTATAGTTGTCCACCCAGTAAAAGTTGTTTTGATTAAAATTAAATAATTTTAAACAAAATAGGAATTTTAACAATGCAAAACCACCTCATTACCATATCTACACCGATTTCGGATAATTGAGGACAGGTATCTACTGGTTACGTTAAATTACTTCTACTCATAATATAAACTAAGCGGAATTTATATTGATCAAATTATGTTGGTACATGTATAGAAGCAATAACAGAATATCTTTACAAATATTTGTTAATTTGACCATAAAATATACTGTATCTGTTTTAATTATTGCTATAAAAAAATAAATCCGTCTCTGTTAGGTTAGTTCTAACGGAAAAACCATGATAAGATTCCTTCAAATAATTATATTAATTACATGGAAATATATCACTTGGCAAGTTTACATGAATTGTAAAGTGTTTTGTAGGTGTGATATTACGTTTAATAAGAGTACTGTACTATATTGGAGGTGTAGATTAAACATAACGATTTGTAAGTATCTACTTACTTATTTTTGACATTTGACAAAAAAAACATTTTTTTATATTTTTGATACTCAACTATGAATTTTTATTAACTTTCTGGACATTTTCAGCCATGCATATATTAAGTTGCTCCTAGTTAGTAGTTAGTAGATCCAAAAGTATTTTCTGCAGGATGTGGTATTCTCAAGATACCCAGTAGCATAGCGTAACAAAAAATTAAATGAAAAATAAAAACCAGGTAGCACTTTTTTCTTCCTATTGTTTTGCATGTAACGTTGCAAAACAATTTTTGTCGTGTTTGAGACAAAGTCCGACATTGAAAGATGAATATCTTCATTGTGTTCTACTAATATTTGCTGTCGTGCTGCAGTTGGCACATCTCAAAGAAGTAGTTCTTTGAGGCATATGAGAAGACTTTGAATGGCGCAGTTCGAAAGCAATATGCCTTTTGAATTTACTCACTGGATTTTCTGCTGATTTTCTTTCCCTTTTTATTTATTCTAGAGCTCCAATAAGGCCTTTAATCACAAAGAGCCGAAATTATTTTAAAGACAAACTACTGGATTGACTTCTAAGTTGAAATAGAATGAATGCGTTTACGACGCAAGCATCCACAAAATAAAAAAAATATTCTATGCCACCACTTTTGTGATTTTCAATTCATCTCATAAAGACTTTTCAGCATGTCAAATTTGTCAACATAAGCCATATGAGAGGTAGAGCAGTACCATTTGTGGACATGAATTCTTATTCAGAGTAGCGTATTTTTGTCTTCTCTTTACAGCTTCGTTTGTTGATGGATTTTGGTAATTTTCTAAAAGAATTACACCTCTGCGATCCATATACTTCAACGCAGATAGTCCATCTGTTACCATTCGGTAATCTTAATCTCCTTGATTCATTTATTTGTCAGTTTTAAACTCTAAAGGTAAATCATTTCTTTTTTTTTTAACGGTTCCAACTGCGTAAATTTCGTCCCAAAATAAAGATCTCTAAAGATCAATACAGGTGAAATAGTTGTCAAAGGACACCCGGTGATTTTTATTTATTAAGACCCTTGTTAGATCCTGTACCACTTGTTGTCCTAAGTTTCCCACTTTACACAAATTAGACGTAACTGTTTCCTTATATTTTTTGAAGTTATTTTTATTGCGGCATCTTATGCAAATTTACTATTTTAATTGGATTTGAGCCTGACTATTAGTTAGAAATTAAATTTATTTGGCGTTGAACTGAAGTTGGACCGCTAGTTGGATAGCAAGTCGGAACGTGAGTGGAGACGAATATCCAACTAGTAGTCCGACTATGTTGGACCGTAAGTAGGAACGACAGGCCATTCACGTTCCGACTTGTGGTCCCACTTAGTAGGACTACAAGTTGGATGTTCGTCTCCACTCACGCTCCGACTTTCTATCCAATCAGCGGTCCAACTTGAGTTCCAGGTTGTTTTCACGATGGTGTACATCGCTTAACCACAAAATGTATCGAATAAACACTACGCAAAATATAATTAGAAGGAGGAAAATGGCAGCATTGTGCTTGTTATCCTTATATATATGTTATGATATGTATATTTAAAAATTAGGTTTCGTTTCTCTAGTTATTTGTCTAGGGCTGAACTAATTAATTTTTTCAGATGTAGGAAAAAATTATAGTTTTTAAAGATTTGTGTAGGTATAAAATCTATATTTTATTTGTTTTAAACTGGAGCTGGGATTTATTTTGTTGTGTGTGTGTCGTATATTTTTAATAGGAATAATTTTTCGTGCAATTGAAAGTTATTTTCTATTATTTTTTGCGAACTAGGGATCTTTTGCTACAACTATGATTTAATTTTCATTGTTTGTTGATAATTCTTCCGTAGCCAATCCGGAGTATCGGAAATTTACCTGTATGGGAATGTCCGAAATAGATCAACAGAAAGGAAAATGATTTGCCCTAACAAAAATGTAATTTTCGTGCAATTGAAAGTTTATTTTCTATTAAATATTCGCGAACTAGAGATTTTTGCGTAAAGTATTTCATAGAAATCTCATACGTAACAGGTGCCGAAGGTCAACTAACTGAGGAAATTTTCGATCCAACCTGTCATCCGACTTCCAATTTCACCATTCACGTTCCGACTTCGTCGACAGTCGGAAGACTGATCGTCAAGTCGTCCGACTAGATGTCCCGACTCGTACCACTAGTTGTCCAACTAATCCAACTAGCCCACTCAAGGTCCGATTTCAGATCCAACTGCAGAAGTTGGACCACTAGTCGTACCACAAGTCGGAACGTGAATGGCCTGCATAATGCCTAACCTAATTTTTAAACATACATATCATAACATACATATAAGGATAACAAGCAAAATGCTGCCATTTTCCTCCTCCTAATTATATTTTGCGTACTGTTTATTCGAAACATTTTTTGGTTAAGACAGGCCATTCACGTTCCGACTTGTGGTCCCACTTAGTAGGACTACTAGTTGGATGTTCGTCTCCACTCACGCTCCGACTTTCTATCCAACTAGCGGTCCAACTTCAATTCTAGGTTGTTTTCACGATGGTGTACATCGCTTAACCAAAAAATGTATCGAATAAACACTACGCAAAATATAATAATATGATATGTATGTTTAAAAATTAGGTTTCGTTTCTCTAGTTATTTGTCTAGGGCTGAACTAATTAATTTTTTCAACTCTTGATTTTTATGACTTTTTAAGATGTAGGAAAAAATTATAGTTTTTAAAGATTTGTATAGGTATAAAATTTGTATTTTATTTGTTTTAAACTGGAGCTTGGATTTATTTTGTTGTGTGTGTGTCGTATATTTTTAATAGGAATAATTGTTCGTGCAATTGAAAGTTATTTTCTATTATTTTTTTGCGAACTAGGGATCTTTGGCTACAACTATGATTTAATTTTCATTGTTTGTTGATAATTCTTCCGTAGCCAATCCGGAGTATCGGAAATTTACCTGTATAGGAATGTCCGAAATAGATCTACAGAAAGGAAAATGATTTGCCCAAACAAAAAGGTAATTTTCGTCCAATTGAAAGTTTATTTTCTATTAAATATTCGCGAACTAGAGATCTTTGCGTAAAGTATTTCATAGAAATCTCATACGTAACAGGTGCCGAAAGTCAACTGACTGAGGAAATTTTTGATCCAACCTGTGATCCGACTTCCAACTTCACCATTCACGCTCCGACTTCGTCGCCAGTCGGAAGTCGGATCTTCAAGTCGTCCCACTAGTCGTACCACTAGTTGTCCAACTAATCCAAGTAGCGCACTCACGGTCCGATTTCAGATCCAACTGCAGAAGTTGGACCACTAGTCGTACCACAAGTCGGAACGTGAATAGCCTGCATAAGCGATGTACACCATCGTGAAAACAACCTAGAATTGAAGTTGGACCGCTAGTTGGATAGAAAGTCGGAGCGTGAGTGGAGATGAACATCCAACTAGTAGTCCTACTAAGTGGGACCACAAGTCGGAACGTGAATGGCCTGTCTAAGACAAAAATTGTAAAAAAGTTAGAAGTGACAGAAAAAAAAATGGAGAAAGAAAGATAAAAACCAAAACAACTACTACTTTTTAAACTCAAATAAAATTGTTTTATTTTAAGAAAAATTATTCTACGTGAATATTTTAATCAACTAATATGTATACCATGGACAGATTTTAATTTTATTCTAGAAATTTGTTGATAGTGTCTAGATGATTTAGTTTTTAGCGAGATATAAATATAAATTCGCAGCCATCATCCACATGACCTGGTTTTGATTTGGCTGGCTTACTTTTATACAGTTTAATCTGTAGATATTAAAAGTAATTTAAACCAGCAATTAAGCAGATTTTTGGAATTCAAAATTATAATTTTTAAGTAGTAACTAAATTATATATGTTAAACAGATTGGTTTCTTGTTTTCCTTTAAATTTATAGTGCCATAAAAGTTTATTTGTACATTGTAAATTGTATTTTATAGATAGCATTATTAAAAAACTAAAAATTATTACTTTATTAGGCAATTAGTTTTACGTATTTAAAAAGATTTAAAGTGTCTTTTTAGAGTTACATAACTTTATGTATACCTATCTACTACAAACACAAATTCCCTTTCGTGGCATTGCTTTGCAAACATTTGGTTGGGACTAGCGTTAGCAGGTGTCCCGATTTGCGCAGAACGTCCCGATTTTCAGGGATCTGAGGACGCGTCCCGATTTGTACCTAATCGGGACACTAAATATCCCGATAAATCAATAAAATAAAAAGCCATAATCACTAGACAAAAATAATATATTACGCATTACACCACTATATCGACAAATCAAAATTTTAACTATAGGTAAATATACCAACTCAATACTACAGTACTTATATTATAAAACGTAATAGAAATAGTGTCAGGTTTCACTGAAGCACTCGATACATATTTTACAAGTATGTGATCACTCTGCGAATCCAGCAAAATTTCGCAATGTGAATCTTTCATTCTTCTTTTTTCAATGCTTCCACTTCAACACCGAAAAAAAAAGAAGCAAAGAAGAATGTGTTCTTTTCTTGATCTTTGGACGAAAAATTACTCGTTCATCAAATCCATTTCCAATAATAAGTTTAGCGCACTTTGTACATTGTGCCAAAAACTGTTTAGCATATCTCCTGGTGGCAACATTAATATAGAAAGACACAAAAAATATAATGAATACCAAAAAAAAAGAAGTGCCAGTTCGTCAACATCGCTACAAATGTTTTTAAAAATCGATCAAATGAGCACTCAAGAAGAAAAAGTGATAGCCGCTGAAGTCACTAAGACATACCACTTGGTCAAGCATTGTTTATCATTCAATTCACTCGTTTTGTTCACAACTGAATTTGTTCCCGTCCTGCGGTATATTAAGAGGAGATGGTTATCACTTCTACCTGCCGTGGAACGTGCTACCAAATCTTTCAATATCCTGAAAGATTATTTTATATTATTGGGAGAAGACGAATGTTCCACTGCGCTATGGTAATTCTTTA